GTATTTCCATGAATGTCCTTTTTATTTTGTTTAGCATTGTTCTCTATCAGACACTTTACTACCTTTTAAATGAGAAGCAGCAGTAATACCATTTTAGTTTGAGAAAGAATCAACAACAAAAAAAATAGAGAATTAAAATATTTTTACTTCACACTCTAGTTAATAATTTAACTAATAGATTGTGGAATACAGTCCAATGCACTTAAAAGCATGGCTTAGGTCACAGGCTTTTTTGCTCTACTGAGGTATACAGAAAGGCGGTGGAACCACTAAGAATACCTGTAGTTCAGTCATTACTTGGTGGCTTTTTGTTTCTTGACAATATAGACTGAGACTATTTTGACCAGGCCCAGATTATCATATAGGCTAACAAGACCCTGACCCAGGATCCACCATTTTCATGATATACCTCTGGTACATTATACTAATTTTTCCCTACAAAATTATAATTAAAGATGACTTTCACACTGGCCTACAGCCCTTGGTTTCCTTATTACAGCTCTGGTTTTGAGTATTTTGGTACTGAAAGGAGGGAAAGTGTCATTAAGATACAAGCAATATATGCAATTTGATGTTCACAACAATATCCAATAAATAAATAAATAAATAAACCAGATACTTCATTAAGACCTTTAGCCATTTTCAAACCATACATGGAAAAAACCCCAATTAGGTAGGAAGTCATGTGGGCTTCCAGATGCTGTTGGACTATAAACCCCAGCATTCCTCACCATTGCCTATAATGACCAGGATTTACGGGATTTGCAGTCCAGCAACAAGAAGACAGCATAATTCCCACCTCTACTTTAAGCAGCCCTAGTAGCAAGGATCCAAACTGGTCATATTCTCCCAATGAAGGGTTGTTGTTTGACCACAGGCACCTGAAAAAGGCAGTTTCACATTTTTTTAAAAAAGGAATTCCTGTCTGGGCTCTCTCAGAGGTGACATGATCTTGTAAGATGCACCTTAAGCAGTTTGCAGACTGAAAATACTGTATATTAACACTAGCACATTAACAGATAAGTTCTTCAGGAGCCATTGTTTTAACTGCACAGTAGTGTTTGCTAGCTAACTGCAGCTGTGGCAACCAAATGGATGCCACTCCCAAAATAATTCCAAAGTCTACCTGTGCTTTTCCTAACTATCCAAAGCCTGGGCTGGCATTAACTTTGCACAGTGGCAAACCATATTTCATTTTTTTTCTAGTTCATTCACTTGCTAAACAAAATTTATTTACCTCCAAGTGACCATTCTGGCAGGCTAGGTGAAGAGGCACTGCGTGGTTAGCATCTTTTGCCCCAACATCAGCCCCAAGTTTCAACAAGAGAGTGACCAAATCATCATGTCCATGGAGCGCAGCAACATGGAGTGGTGTCTGACCATCTTGGTTTGTAACATTCACACTAAATCCATTACTGGGTACTCTGAAGAATTTCTGTTGGGAAAATTAAAAATTAATCCAAAGGAAATCCAGAACCACACTTTCTCAGCTCCCCCTTACAAGATAAAGAACATGCAGACAACCACTGTGTACCAGCTACTGCTCAGGAACAGACAACTGAGAATGTGAAGACATTATTACAATTTCAGCCAATACAAGGCATGGTGGTGTAAAAACAAACAAACCATTTTTATTTATTTTTATTTTTATTTTTTGCTGTCTTAGGTGGAGAGAGAGAAACTGTTCAGTTATGTATCTGAGCTGAAAACTGAGCTACTGAAGGAAAGAAATGGGGAAAAGAGAGCGCACCAGGCAATGGGAACTGGTGACAATCTTACGTAGGATTTGCTGGAGCTGATATTGACCATCACTTTCTTCAAATTAAAACAAAAACAATAAAAATGCATTCATATTCAGGGCAGTTGGCTAGACATGTAAATGGTCAGAGAAACTAATTTCCTGATTTTTACTTGAGAAATATCCTATCCTCTTCTACAAACAAATAGTACTTATTCCCAAATAAATGTGATTACTATCAGGATAACAGAAGCAAATTCAATTTTTCCTAGTAGTCATCACAGTACTGTACTAAGATTTAAGGGACTATATATTGCAAGTTACCGAGGGAATGTGAACCCAAAAGCTATGAGTTCTAGATATGAACATTCTTCATTGTCTCACTCTGCAATGTTAGAAATTGAGGACAAGGAAAATGCCACTAGTGGGGCAAAGTTATTATTTGGAGAGGCAATAGACAATACCCCCATTTTGCCCCCCTCCCCCAATTCCCATAGCTACATCCTTGGGAGAGCAGCAAAAGAGGCAACACAGAGATCAAGAGCACAGGTCTCATCTACCTAGCACAGGTATAAAAACTCATTAAAGGTGAGGACAACAAAATGCTAGTGTTCACCGTTGAAAGAGGAGGGCAAGTCAGGGATGTTAAATTCTACCCTCCTATTCAAAGTTTTCTAGTCTACCTCCACTCAGTAAAATGAACTTCTTGACTCACTGCTACTCAATCCTTTCAAAAGCCTGATTAGCCAGGACTTCATCCCATCAGGTCATGAACACGGATGAAGGCATGTTTAAGAGCAATGCCCAATTAATCGCAGAGCTCTTGCATGCAAAGACTGAGGGAGACTGTTGGCTCAAGACAGGGGTAGACAACCTTTCCCCTTTAAGGGCCGAGGGACTTCAGCTCCCAGAAGCTTCAGCAATGTTGGCCAATAGTCCCATGTTGGCCAATAGCTCCTGGGATTCTGGGAGCTGAAGTCCCTCGGCCCTTAAAGGGAAAAGGTTGCCTACCCCTGGCTCAAGACATCTGAATGTCTGTAGCAGAAGACAAAATGGCACCCCTTCCCCATTCCCCATACAGAAGCCAGGTGGGCTGGCAGCTAAAACTTACTTCAGCTGTGGCAATGAAGAGTGTTTATCACCACTTCTGGGGGAGCAGGCTAATTTGGAGAGCCCAGGAGATGTTGTGGAGCTCTATCTTCCAACAGAGAAAATGCTAATGAGCTCAAGACAAACTGCTAGGAAACTGAGGCCTCATTCTCACTACAATTTACAGTGAATTGCGAATCACTGTATATGTGCTTCATTCCCACTGTGAGCGGTTTCAGAAGTGACTGCAATCATTCGGAGTAGCTTTGAACCGCTACAAATCCAAAAAACCCACACTTTTTGAGGAATAGTTTTCTGGCGTTTTTTTGTTTTTGTTGTTTTTTTGGGGGGTGGGGGAAAAATTGATTCATAACCATGTTGAGCAAGTGTGAACGATGGACCTGAATTGCATTGTAATGGATTGTAACATTACCGAGGCAGAGAGGCTTCCTCCCAGGGACTCTCTGCTCATGCTTAGGATC